CAGTATTTTTTCCTCATGTCCCGTTTCGGCCCCAGTCCTAAACAATACCCACTTCTCTACTTTTTCATCTGCCTTTTAACTTGTGTCCTTTAAGAGATGAAGAGGAATGATATTAAGCAGCACTCTCAGCACCATCTTTGGATGTTGCACTGGTGAACATTTTAAAATTACAGTCTTTTAATAGGAACATAATTTTCTACATTATACATTTACCTAACACTAAAAATAGTACTGTTACCCAAGAGGGAACTGACAAGTAGAAGTCATCTTTCCAGTCTAAACTGGGAAGAAGTCAGTTACTGGTTTGAGATAGGTGTAGGGATGGGGTGGGGGACATCATCTGGGAATACCCAGAGACCGTAGCTCCAGGAGGGTCAGCTTGCTGGTTTAAGAACCAGTTATTTAAAAGTGTGGATTAAAAAGGTGGACACATTTTTATGAGGATATGGATACTGCTTTTATAAGCACATTTTCAGGAATGATGCAGTATTACCTTCACTTAAGAGTTTTATAAATATATGATTACACTTTTACCAGAAAACAGAAATATGGGCACTAAACAAACTGAAGCGGGATAAAGGATGAGCAAGAAATGTAGATGTTACTGAGGATTTCAAAGGGAAGACATCCAAAAAATTACCATTTACGTATTTCTGTTCTGCCTCTAGTGTTTTGGTTGTCAGTAGCTGTAGCCTGCCTATAAAAATCTTTTGTCTTGAGAATTAAGTTCTGGACCCACGTTTGTATACCCTACTCAGCAGAACAAAAGGGTGGCTTTAGACAAGAGTTTCCGGACCTTACTGCTATTTGATGTGTCCTTCGGGAAGGACTCCCATCCCATGCAGCTTACTAATTGTACATACACCTATACTTGTGGAGCTGCTAAGAAAATGTAACTTTTGTTTTTAGTCAGTATCACTGACTTCTTTCATCATTATACCTTTTAGAATTTTTAAAAGGTTTTCACATTTATCTGCCATTTATTCCCTACCATACACCCTTGCATTATTGACAAATTTTAAAAGTGAAGAAGCAGGAGTTATGTCTTCTCCTGGACTATGCTAAATCTTAAAATCACTTCCACATCTGATCTGTATTTTTATATATATAGTTCAGTTTAATACGTTAGATTAAGTGGTAAATCACTTGTTGTAATGGACAAAAGGGAAACTAGAGTATGTGCTAAGTGCCTGTACCTGTTGCTTCCACATTTATCTTACTTAATCCCTATAACCACGTCATAAAAGCATTACTCCCATTTTACAAGTGAGGAAACTAAACAACACTTTCTGTTTTCTATTAATGACTTAACCTTCATTCCTGCAAGGGGAACATTTTTACTATACTTTCTCATATCCCAAATATTCTAACAAAAGAACTGTCCTGGTAAGGACCATATTTTTTCTCTATTGCATTTGTCCACACATATATCACACCCTTGTATGCCTAAAGAATTTAAGGGGGAAAAATTTGATGGCTAGTAATTAGTATCCTAATTGAAGAAGTATTTAGTTTTTGAACCATCTCTACTTAAGTAAGGAGATCACTGTGCTCTCTTCTCCCAGGAATATCTGTGTCCTCGGGTACCTGAGAGGCCTCGCTGCCTTATTTATGTATTTCTAAATTATGTAATGTCTACTTGAAATTCTGCATACCTGTTAAAGAATGGAAAAGCTACTAGATATTTTATGTGGTAAACCCAACTTGAAAGACCTAAAGTGTTTCCTTCCCCCCTCCTTTTTTTAAACATAAAATATGTGTCATTAAGTATGGTTTGAATATGATGGCTAACTATTAATCTCTCCACTTGTTGGAAACCATATTGAGAAAGCACAGACTTGCAGGCTAAATTTTTTATCTTATTTCCATGAGTGGTGGGATGGAGAATGCTAAGAATGGATGAGTGTGCCGATGAGCACTTGAAATGCTGACCCAGCCACATTCCTCAGTATCATCTGCTGTTTAGCTTTGTTAACACCACTTATTTTTAATTTCCTGCATGGAAGATAACATGACTCATGAAGTGTTTGGTACAGTAGGAATTATCTTCTGTTTATTTTTCCTACTGTCATTTATATATTTGTTTTAAATTTTGAATCTTCTGTTTGTTTGCTTTTTTTTTTTTTTGGCGGGGGGTGGGGGAGTTTTTTTTTTAACAAAGCCCAAGAGAATTAGCCAGCTCTGTATAAAGCTGGAGAGAGCTGTTCATCATCCCAGTTTGTTTTAGTGCAAAGTGGAGTGGTATTTTTATGGCAGATCTGAAAGGAGACCTTCCTTAACTTCTAAGAGCAAGATTTCACCCTGTCAGCCCTGTGTTTGCACAGTTTGAAGCGTCTGGTCAGTTTGTCACCTTCAGGTTACTGGAGCATGAATCACCACATTGTCTTAGTGAGGTAGAAATAAATACATTAGTTTCTCATTTTTGATACAAGGAAATGGAAACACATAACAACTAAGTAATATATCCAAGAGTACACAGTCAGCTGCTGAATATATCATTAGATATAGTAATAGTTTTCTTAATAGGACTTACTATTAATTCTTAATATCATGGAAGGTCCTTTGCTCTAAGGTGCAGGCACATAGTGAAAGTGTGACAAGGTGACTGATGAATCTGTGGGATTCTCTACATTGCACCTTGGTTTCTGAGTTTTCTGATAGTCGTTCACGCAGTTCCCGCCTCACTGGCTGTTGCAGCACCGCCCGGTAGAACTGCTGCCGTGATGATCTGTAGCTACGCTGGAGCCATTTTGGGCTGTTGAAACATGGTTAGTGCAACTAGGGACCTGAATATTTCATTTAATTTTAACTTAGTCATATAAATGTATAATTCTGTCATATATATCGCATGATTTGCTTTTTGGTTTAATATATTATTGTACTTTCTCAGTGATTATTACATGATTATAATAGTCTATTTTTATCCCTTCCACTTAGAAGTGGATATCTTTGTGTATGTTTCAAACATGGGGCTATAGGAATAGGATTTTAGAGGGACTTCTGGATAAGCAGTTTTCGACCTTTTTTCATCTCATGGTACACAAAAACTAATTATTAAAATTCTGCATCACACCAAAAAATGTATTTTTTGCTGACCTGACTGAAAAAAATAGGTATAGAGTTTGAGTCATTCACCTCAGATGGCTCTTGTTGTATTGACTATTGTCATTTTTTATTGAACAATCTTAAGGGAAAAAAGGTCATGCCCTGGCTGGGTAGCTTAGTTGGTTAGAGCATTGTCCTCATACATTAAGGTCACAGGTTTGATGCCCAGTCAGGACACATACAAGAGTCAACCAATGAATGCATAAATAAGTGGAACAACAGACCAATGTTTCTCTCCCCCACCCCCTTCCTCTCTTTCTCTCAAATCAATAAATAAAAAAGAGGTCAGTGCCCCTGACTAGACAGGTATTGCATGTTTTAAAAATTCTTGCAGCACACCAGTTGAAAACCGCTGTTCTGGATTATTGTAAGGAAGAGATTTTTGGGGCTGTTATGGTTCTGTTAAATAGTTTTCAGTTAGGGAGAAATTAAGGAGACAGGCAAAAACTTGTTGTTAGATTCCATACCATGTTACTGTAGCATGTGGCATTACCATTGTTTCCTTAAAATTAGTGAGCCACTGTTGGCTCAGTTGAAAACCAGTTGCATAATGTTAGTCATACAGCTTTTTTTAAATCGAATCCTTATTAAGCAATAAGCCACATTTAGGTGTTCAGTAGCCATGTGTGACTGGTGTTTACCATATTGAACAGCGCAGATCTAGCCTGTTAGCCACTTTCAGCTGGTTCACATTTATAGAACCCTTTCCCAGCAGCTGTAGAATACATGTTCTTTAAAGTGCACATGGAACTTTCACCAAGGCAAACCCAATTCAAGGCCATAAAACAGTTTCAAAATAAAAGACTGAAATCTCACAGTATATTTTGTGACCACATCAGAATTAAATAAGAAAATAATAAGTTACCTAGTAAAACAAATATATCTGAAAGTTAAACAGCACACTTCTAAATAATTTGAGTCAAAGGTGGAATCTTATAGAAAATCAGAGATTTTAAACTAAATGGTAGTGAAAATACACTATCAAAATATTCATTTTAGCTAAAGCAGTGCTTGAGGAAATTTACAATTTTTTTTTTAAAGATTTTATTTTTAGAGAGAGAAGGGAAGGGTGAGAAACATCCATGTGTGGTAGCCTCTCACCACCCCGCACCCCCAACCCCCGGCCATGAGGACCCAACCCACAACCCAGGCATGTGCCCTGACCAGGAATCGAACCAGCGACCCTTTGATTTGCAGGCCAGCCCTCAATCCACTGAGCCACACCAACCAGGGCAAAATTTATAAAATTTTATATGGTTATATTAAATAGGAAGGGGGAAATAAAATCACTGATTTGAGTTTTCACCAAAAGCTGCAAAAAAGGGTCACAGTAAACCCCAAATAAGGTAACAGGAAGAAAATAATAAGGATGAGAGTAGAAGACTGACAGTGAAAATGAACTGCAATATGCTGTCCCTTCCCTCTGGTAACTTTTACTAACTAACTTGTTAACCTGCAATGACTAGCAATAAAACCAGTGAGAAAAAAATAGTTTAAGAATTATAAGAAACAAGTTGATAGTTTGAGAGCAGTATTAAATTAAGTTTTATAATTAAAATTATTTTTTATAACAAAAGCCTCAGTTTCTTTGAATTCAAATTCATGATAGTGTTCTGATGTGTTTGTTTGAAAAATAATTTAACCTATGGGTGGAAACCTATAGGCATATTTTATAAACCCATGAAAGAATTTTAAAACTGAGAATTTGAACTTAGTTTTAAAATAACCAATTGGTAAGTAGCCCTGTGCATCCCATTGAGAAGTATACAGTACTTACTTTCAAGACAGACTTTCCAGATAAGTCTGCAGAAATGATTGGCTCCCAGGAGTTTGTGTAATTTCATTGAACTGGGGGGAAAAAAAGGTATTTAAAGCATTGAATTTTTTTCTTACAGGTTTATAGACAAGAAGGAACGGTTAAGTCAACTTAAGAGCAAGCAAGAAGAATTTCAAAAAGAGTGAGTTTTCCCTTTTAATTTGTGGAGATTATCTAGACACCATGTGGGTTGAGCCCTGTGGTATGCAGATACACATCGCTAACGTACTACAATTTATAAGCAAAAGAGGAGAGTTGTCAAGTTTCTAGAAAATACTGGGACCAGTCCTGGTGCCTGTACACAGTAGGCACTCAGTGGTGGGATTGGATGTTGAATCAAACCCCTAGCCCTGATAATTGGTATGTGGCAAATGGGTCCAGAACAGTAGGCTGTTTAGACTTAGGTTAGTGATGGTGGCTCCTTTGGGACGTCTCTGCTTTTGATTACCTTTCTTCTCTGTCAGTGCTTTTGCAAAGTGTGGTCATCTATATCATAATTTATTAACTGAGGTCATGGTTAAATGTAAAGTCTTAAAATCCTGTCCTCAGATATTCTGATTCAGTAGGTCTTGGGGGAGGCCTGGGAATCCGAGGTATTACCGAGCATGCTGATGTATCTCTCTCACTCTGGATTTGAGAATTTTCATATAGAACCTTCTATCCCAAACTGACCCAGTCACTGTTCTGCAGGCACACCCGAAGTCTTATAAATACATTAATAAGTGGGTTAAATATTCTGAGATGCCTTGCATTAGAGAAACCTACTTGGATTAATTTAATTTAGCTCAGTTATTTCTCTATTTGATTGCGGAAACTTTCATGTTTTTTGAACACTTTACTCCATAAAACAAATTTTCACAGACACTGGCTTGTGCCTTTTCTTTAGGAGATGATCGTAGCATTTTCAGTCATGAATTCTTCTGTAACTGTCATTATTATTAATTATGACTGATGGGAATTACTCTGAGGACAAAGGCTCTGGCTGTTGCAGAAGTTTATTATGAATGGGTATAGAAAGCTCTGGGCTGTGTTAGAAGTGCAAAAGGAAGGAGGTAAGAAAAAAATTACAGAGAACAGAATTTGGAAAACACTTTCAAATGCTCCTTTGGACCTACTTTGGTGTTTCTAGCCATTTATAAGAACTTTTTTTTAAAAAGTTGTTGATTTTACATTTTTGAGCTTTACAAACTTTAATTATTTTAAAATTTTATTTTGTATATCTCTTCTCCATACAGAGTGTTAAAGGCTATGGAAGGAAAATGGATAACAGATCAGTTGGTAAGTTGTAAGGACTATTTAAATAATATTCTTTGTACTTGAGGTTACATGTTTTTAAGTTGGTAGAGCTTAAAAAAATCATTGGGAATTTAAATTTGTTTTTTCTCATTTTTCAAAGTTATCTCTTTGCATGTATTTGTAGTTTGGGCTTTTCAAATATTTTATCTAGATACCAAAGATGGGGTACGGACAACTAATTAGGGAGCTGTCATAAAGGTTAATTATGAAGTCTGCTATTGACATAGAAATATAAGAGCAGTGGGCTGGCCTTTTTGAGGAAACTTACTCATCGTAAACACATACATATTCTAGATGGCATAATGATTAAATGTGAAAAAATAAACCCATAAAAATATGAAATGAAAGTATGGGAAAGTGTTTATGACTTCTGGGGATGAGAGGACTTTGATAAGCCATAAAGGAAAACATTTTGACAGACTATGTAAAAAGCGTTTTATGTTAAACACCCTAAGCAAAATTAACATAAACTGGGAAAAAATAACTACAACGTGTGAAAAGAAGGAGTTTAGTTGATAACATTTTTATTCACTGTTGGTAGGAAATATACACTGACATATTTGGGGGACAATTTGATGGAGGTTTTTTTCCTCTAATGAATATGTGACATACCTGGCAGATTTCCTCTTATGGAGATGCACAGGAATGCAGAGATTTATGGATAAAGACACTGATCATCTGCAACACTAGTAGTCAAGTTAATGTATAAATAGACTAAATGCTAAGCAGGGTGCAATAAATATGACACTGCGTAGCTGTTAAAAAGAATGTGCTCAATCTATGTGTATTGATACAAAGTGATGTCCGAAGATAAACTTTTTAATGAAAAATCAAAGTAGGCTAAAGTGTGATTCCGTTTGCCTGAGTATGTGTTTTAAATATAAACATACTCTAAAAAGTCTGAAAAGATGGCACATCAAACTTGCACTAAGATTACCCTTGAGAAGTGAGGAGTCAGGCGAACAATCGTTTTTTTTTCCTGTGATGTCTTAATTTTTTCACAATAATAAGCATCACTCATAGTTTTTAAATAACCTAAAAAATATTTATGATATAAATGAATTCTATTTATTCTCAGAATTATGGAAACAAAACATGTCATAAAGATCATAAAAGGCCATTTATAAAGAATCCCATCCCCATTTTTCTACATTCCCTGTATTGTTTTCTAATTTTTCTGTCGAAAACTTCAATATTGATTCTTAAAGACTAATACCTTTTAAAAGTTAAGACATCTTATTGCCAATTCTCCTGATGCCACCAGTCCCCAAGAACCTGTTTTCAGCTGTCTCTCTCATGCCATTGAAGAGGTTGGCATTTCACCCGCTGGAACATCCCTGTGACCTGCTCTGTATCTCGTACCATCAAACACCACAAATACTTGAATGTTGTTTGAAGCTTTTAATTAGCCACATTTATGGAGATGTTATAGAAGAGATAGTTATACTTTTTAACTAATACTAGGTCACGTTTTTACTGATGGTTCTTTATTTACCTTGGGCGAAGCAGTACCTGAATCCTGGTAATGTAAAGAGGAAGTTTCAGGTGTGTGTGTGTGTGTGTGTGTGTGTGTGTGTGTGTTGGGGGCGGGGGTAATTTCATGTTTTGTATAACTGAGGCTTTTCAAAAAATCTTATATAAGTTATATACATTTTTAAAAACCTTTTTTGCAGTTTTAATTATTTTGAAAGTAATATTTGTTGATTGTGTCGGAGAGGTAATGCGTGATGTTCATGGTCTCCCCTGTAACCAGCACTAAGAGTTTAGAGCAGGGCATCAATAGAACTTTCTGGGGTGATGCAAACGTTCTATACCTGCACAGATCAATGTGGTAGCCATTAGCCACGTGTGGTTTTGAGCACATGACATACAGGTAGTGTAAGAAAGCAGCTGAATTTTTTTTATTTTATGTAATTTTAACTGACTTTTAAGTAGTCACTTGTGACCAGTAGTCTATATATTAAGCAGAGCGTGTTAAGAGAATGTCCTTTAACATTTTTTTTTGTGAGGGTTTTTTTCTCCCTTAATTTTCTAGCAGTTTCTGCATTGAACCAGAATAACATTTTTTTTTCTTTTTGGTAATCTGCCATAGTTATAAAAACTATACTGAATATAGTGGTCTTTTTTCATTATGTTTTCTAAGATACACCTAAAAATAGGTAACGATACCAGGTAGATGATCATTAATTATGAGATCAACATTTCTGATATTTATTGTATACTTTTTAAGAGATGGAAAATAATGTCCTGCAAGATGAGGATTGAACAGTTAAAACAAACAATATGTAAAGGAAATGAAGAAATGAAGAAAAGTAAGTAATTTGACCCCCTCCCTCCAGCCATAATAAGCAGCTCATGTGGAATTTCATGGGATTAATAAACTAGAGAGACAGAGAAAGAGAAGAGGAGGAGGGGTGGAGGGCAACAGCAACCTGGAAAAGTTTACTGCTTGCCTTTGTCTATTTATAAATTGTTTGTGTAAGGAATTCTTATATAAGGACCTTTAAATAACCTGCTATCTTTCTCATTTATTTTAAAAAGTTAAGGAATGCGCCCAGGCCGATGTGGCTGAGTCGGCCGGGCATTGCCCTGTAGAGCAGATGGTTGCCTGTGGGGCTCCTGGTCAGGACGCGTGCCTGGGTTGCAGAGTCAGTCCCTGATTGGGGAGCAAGCAAGAAGCAACCCAGTGTTTCTCTCACGTCAATGGTTCTCCTCCTCTCCTCCTCCCTCCCTTCCCCTCTCTCTAAAAATAAATTTATAAAATCTTTTTTTTTTTAAATTTTTTTTAGAAGTTAAGGAATGTGTGTTTTCCATTTGCCTTAGCTAGCAGGAGATTCAGACTTGATAACCATAGGAGATTCTAACTTGGTAACCACTTATACTTACTCATACTAGAAGCACAGAATATTGCTTTTTTCCCCTTCTGTATGTGTCTTACACATATTTTAATCGGTATTAATCTTACATTATATTTTTGCAGATACTCTATCATAGGTGATGATCAAAATTTAAGAGAGTCCTCTTAGAAACCCTGTATCCTTAGAAATATTTTGTGTGTTTCTGAAAATCATTGTTTAAAGTTTAGAATGAGTCACCATCACACATTGTGAATCCCTTTCCTCTCCATTCATTGCTTTCAGGAGCAATTTAGTACAGGGGTATGTAGTGGTGTAAAAGCTTCCTTTGAAAATGTTCTTATAAAGTACTCCTGTGGAATTTCACAGGGTTAATAAGCCAGAGAAGCAGGGCAACATGATGCGGGGCGCTCAGAACTGTGGACAGCCGACTGCGCACTGAGCTTTGCGTGCGTCCTCCGAAGGCTCTGGTTTAACAGCAGGGCAGGGACTTACCACTTACCCTTGGTTCGCCTTCTTTCCCAACTCGCCTGTGGCGTTTGCACCGGAGGTTTGCTACTAGGCATCTGAGCACCTCCTGAAAGCTGCTGAATTTACTGAGCTTGTGCATTTCTCTGATGAGCAAGTTTAAACTTTGATCGGCTCTAATAGATTTCTAACACCAAAATACAAAAGCAACAATCACAGAAAATAAAATATATGGTTCTAAAGTAGTGGACTTTATAACAGTGGCTTCCATCCCTAGCAGAGTGACTTGGTGACCTTTTTTAAAATCTACAGAGAATCTTGTGACTCACCCTGGATTTAGGAAATTACAGTCTCATTCAGTGGATACTGGGTTAGTGGTTCTCGAACTGCCTGTAGTAAAAGACCAGATTTTTTTGCCTTTGCCAATTTGTCATAAACCAATACCAATACTTTTATAGAATACAATACAATTAATTACTAAAAAAAGATTGCATGCTTGAATATTATGGCAATGTCAAAAGAAAATTTCTTAAACTTAGTCCGTGTTTCTGTATTTTTCTTGTCTAATGGGTGAAAGTCCGCAGACAGGCCATCACATCTGGGTGCACTGCTAGAGGTGGTTCTGGCGGCCTGCGGGGTTGGGGGCCCTGCTCTTTAGAACATGAACGCAGGCTGTTGCCATGCTCACAACCTTTTGCAAACAATTTTAATGGAGTTAATAGATTCCAGAACTCTTTTTAGAGATAATTGTTTGGTGTGATTTATTGTAGCCTCTGAAGGCCTTCTCAAAACCAAGGAAAAGAATCAGAAGCTTTATACTCGAGCAGAGCGGCATCAAGAGAAAAAAGAAAAGATTCAGAGGCACAATCGCAAACTTGGTGACCTAGTAGAAAAAAAAATCATTGACTTAAAAAGTCACTACGAACGTCTGGCGAATCTTCGGCGATCTCATATATTAGAGCTCACCTCTGTCATTTTTCCAATCGAGGAAGTGAAGACCAGTGCGAGGTACAGTAAGCAAGTCTTTCGACTCTAGAACAGATCCGGTTCCAAAGATCTAGTATTTTTCAAGTGTGTCAGCACCTTATTTATTTGACCTCATTCTGGGTCCATGGGTTTTCCTGGTAGTTACTGAATGAAGTCTTATCTGCTTCAGCAAACACTACACACTGCATGAGGTGGGGAGGCAGCCAAGGTGCAGGCTGGTGGCCCTCAGACTGGGGCCCAGGCTTGTGTACTCTTACAGCTTCCCAGTGAGGTGCTGACTCACTCCTGATCGGAAAACCTCTGGTGGCTGGTGTTGGCTGCAATCCCAGTTGGGCTGTTCATTAGTTATCTGTTATGAGGCAGGTTCTCGAACCTCAAAGTCTTATTTCCGTGTCTCTTATACAGGGATAATATTGTAAATGCTTACTTCACAGAAAAATCTTGAACTAAAATGGAAGAAAACACCTGGTGCTTGGGGTCCTTTACATGGGGACAGCCTTTTCCTGGTGACTAGCTGCTGTCGAGCACTAGGTACCCTAAGTCTCCTTATAAGCAGCAGTACGCGGATACCCTCAGGGGTCAATGGGACAGCAAGACAGTGGTTCTGCAGTTGGCTGTTTATCAGTGTCACCCAGGAGCGTTTGAAAAAAACAGGTCCAGAGGACACACCTTGAGCCTCCCAGTCCATCTTATAATACTTTTATATTTTAAAACTTGTCCAGATGATGCTGACGAGCAGCCAGGTTTAGAAACACCACTGAAGAGTTTCGTATGCTCCCTCACTAACCACCAGGCTGTCTCAGTTGAGGATTTTCCCGTCTCTCCTGTCACCCTCACTTTCCAGCCCCCTTCCCCAGAATGGGACAGCCAGTGCGCTACCGCCAGCTCTGTAACTGTTCTGCTACCTCTACTTCAACCTGTCCCTTTGTCTTTTGTCAAACTTAGCTTCCTAAGCTCTTAATATCTGTTGCTTCTAGTTTGAAAACCTTCTCTCTGCATTCTTACCAAGTAATTTATCATTCACAATAGCTGCTAATAAACTAAAAAGGCAGATCAAAAATACAGCAGAATAGAACTTTCAGAAATAAACCTCTTAGGTGGCTTTTTGGATCAGTGAGGAAAAGTGAGGTTACGTTAAAATTGGTGTAAAGACAACCAGCCAGACCAAATGGGATAAAAATATGACAAAATAGAAATATTATGCCGACCAAATGGGATAAAAATATGACAAAATAGAAATATTATGCCAATTACATTCTCATGGGCCAGGGCCTACTGCGGGAATGCGAGAGACGCCACAGGTACCTTTGGGGGTATCTTGGGCTCACCCTCCCGAGTTAAAAAAATGTAAGGACAAGAAGTTATCATTGAAATTAAATGGTGGCAGACACGTCCAAGGAATATTGTGGGGGCTTGATCCTTTTGTATGAAACTTGTGATAGATAAATGTGTGGAGATGGCACCTAGCAGGCAACAGCACAACATTGGAGTGTTGGTAATAGGAGAAAATAGTATCATCATGATAGAAGCCTGGGGGCGAGTATGAGGAATGGCCGTGCTCACCAGAGAAGTCGTCTGCTCCCACGTGTCCCCTCTCCACAGCACTCTTTTATCACTACAGGACCAAAGTAGAGTCATGTACATTTGCACATTGAACTTTTATTAAATAAACTTTTGTATTGGTCCAGAAAAAATCCTCACGGGCCAAGTTATCAATGTTAAACATACTGCAGCCAACAGAGACTAAGACACTTGAGGATTTTAGGACACTAAGGAGACCGACAGCTGCATACGGAGTCGCAGAAGTGCAAACATGGAGAAATACTTTCTCCTTTCTACTTGTGCTGTTTAAATTTTTCTATATATTATATACTGTTAATTTTTTTAAGCTTATGGTTTTGAAGTTATCCCTGTAATAAAATTTCTTGTTCATTCACATTTTTCAAACTTCCTTGAGTAGGAAAAGGAAGAAGTAGCGGACAGCTTAAAGCTGGCCACAGTCCTCTCACCCTGTCTTATCTGTGACAGCCAGTAGGAATTATGCTACATGTGTGTTGGGGCAGAAGGAAAAAGGATCAAGAACCCCTGGCCAAGAGAACAGCATCTAAACATAGTGCTGCACAGAAGGTCCCTCCCGGTCTCCCATTTCCTCCCGACGTTGCCAGCGCCGTCTGCTGGCACTTCTCTGTGCATTCCGCACACAGCCCCACTGATCATCTCTGCTCCCCGGACGCTTGGTGTTCGTCCCCTCCTGTGCGCTTGTGCCTGCTATGACTGCTCATTCCCATCTGTTCTTTAGACCAGCAGCTCTGCACGTATGGCCTGCGGACTTCTCTGAGCCTCTGCCACCCTTTCAGGGGGTCTCTGCAGTCAGAACTATTTTTATTGTTCTATACTAACACTTGATTTTCCTTTTTCACTCTGTTGACATTTGCACTGGGGCTCAAAAGCCATGGTGGGTAAAACCTCTGGCAGTTTGACACATTTCAAGGCAGTGACACCAAGCTGTAGTATAATAGTTGTCATATTCCACCATGTACTTGCAGTGTTTAAAAGGAAAAAAAAAAAAACAGTTTTACAACGAAAATGTTCTTGATGAAGCAATAGAAATTATTTGTATTTAAACTGTCTCGTCTTGGGCCTGCATGTTTGTCTTTTGAACATACCATGTAATGAAATGGGAAGTACACAGGAACTTGGCTGCAGACTGAAGTGCTGTGGTTGGCTCCAGGAGAAGCACTTGAGTGAGTTGCAAGCAGTAGTTGATTTCATGGGGCACTATTTTTACTAGAAAGAACAACTGAAAGACTTGGGTATCAGAGATTTCCAAAAAAGTCTCAGTGTTGCATTGTGCTGTGACTTAGCTGGTCAGCATTGTCACTCTTTACTAATGTTCTTGGTTTGAAAAATAGGTTTTTTTCATAAAGACATGCTGTATTAACATATAATAGTTTTATTACTTTTGAATGAATTAATAATTTAAAATGTTCTCAGATTTCTAACACAGAAAATTTTAATAGTTCTAACCCTCATACACAAAAGTTTTTTGGGGTCCTCAGAAATTTTTAAGTACATAAAGGGATTTTGAGACCAAGTCATTTGAGAACCTGGCATTTGAAGCCACCGCTGGTTTGATCTTCACCTCTGATAGTCACTTACCTCTACATGTTCCGCGTTAAACTCCTGTCCTCGTGTGCATCTTTGTGGTGGTCTGCATATTTGGCAAGTACTATATCGTGTACTCTTTTAAAACTCAGTCCCTTGAAATCCATACACATCTTCTGATTTTTAGGGATCCCGCAGATGTGTCTTCAGAGAGTGACAGTGCCATGACCTCCAGCACTGTGAGCAAGCTTGCTGAAGCCCGGAGGACGACCTACCACTCGGGGAGATGGGTCTGTGACGATCACAATGGGGACACCAGCATTAGCATTACAGGGCCTTGGATTAGCCTTCCCAACAACGGGGACTACTCTGCCTACTACAACTGGGTGGAAGAGAAGAAAACCACCCAGGGTCCTGGTGAGAGCAAAATAGTCTTTGAAAACTTGCATAAATATGTACTTGTTAATTTAGATAAAATTTACATAACAGAAGGAACCATTTTTAAAGTGAACTGTTCAGTGGTTTTCAGTACATTTACAGCATTGTATAACCTTCACCTCTATCTAATTCCAAAACATTTTCATTACCTCAGATGGAGACTCCAAGGCATAAAGCAGTTGCTCCCCACTCCCCCTCCTCTGAGCCAGTTCCCGGCAGTCACTTGTCTGCTTTCTGTCTCTGTCGTAGACATTTCATACAAATGGGATCACAAAATATGTAGCCCTTTGTTTCTGACTTTTTTTTACTTAGCATGTTTTCAAGGTTTGTGTGTATCTAGCATTTCATTCTTTTTATCACTGAATAATCCATTGTATGGATATACTACATTGTTTATCCATCTGTAGGTATACTGAAAACATATTTTAGATATTTCACATTTTGGTGGTCAATACTGCCTCATTTAAATAAAAAGACCTCACTATTTAAAATGTATTTAGCCTGAGTCCCATTTTTATAGTTTTTAAAGAGCTTGTTTTAGCAGTCCTAAATGGAGGTTGAATACCATGATAGAGAAGCCCTTTAAAACTCCTGTAGCTTTTCTTTGTTGGAGAAGGACTGCTCATTTAGTCATTCAGCAAATATTTAGTGAGTGTGTGCTTTCTGTCATGTACAGTGCTGTGTGCTGGTGATACAAGAGTGATGTCACCAAGCCAGGTGTAGCCTTTTGCCTTTCTGTGGGGAGGACAGGAGGCAAGTAGTGATCAAAAGCACCACACCCTGAGTGTGCACTGGGCGGGACCAGCAGCATCATGGGGCGGGGCTGAACAGGAAGTGACTGTTTTTCCATAGGGTAGTCAAGGGAGGTCTCTCTGAGCATTAATTGTTCAGGTAAATAATACATTATCAGGTTCAAGCAGTTCAGACTTCAATTTCATTTATGCTGCTGCGCCTGTTTATGGCCATTTGCTTAGATAACACTTCACTCAGTAAGAAGCATAAACAATGAAACATGGACCTCTTATTAGTAAGGAATAAACATAACCATCAATAATGTAATGACAGAATTAGAAATTATAAAATAATAGGTTCATCATATTTTTGTTGAAATTAAAGCTGTTTGGTGTGTGGTTGTTTTTACACTGTAGACATGGAGCATAACAACCCCGCGTACACAATCAGTGCTGCCCTGTGCTATGCAACTCAGCTAGTCAACATTTTGTCGCACATACTCGATGTAAATCTCCCCAAAAAGCTGTGCAACAGGCAAGTAATTGAAGGTGGTGATGTCTTCTTTGTCTTGGATCTCTTGTGTTCTTATTATGTTCTCATTTATTCCAATTAAATAAAAATTTAAAAATTTAAGCGTTATCAAGATAGAAGTCTGACTACAGATACTGATATTAATTGCAAAGTTTCATGTACTGCAAATTTGTGTTAGCCTAAAATTGCACATGAAGTGTTTGGGAAGACCACAGAGAATCCTCCCACTTGAAAAAAAGAACTGAAGGAAAAACCAGGATATTCAGAGGGTGTGCTCATGTGCAAGAAGAACTGGGTAAATTGAAACACTTGAAATTTTTTTTTATTTTTATAAAAGTATGTAGTTTAAAATTTTTAAAATGTAAAGATTTACAGTCTACTCAATTCCTACTAAGACCGGTCCTACCACCCCTTAGCTATCCGTGCATTGCACGCAAATATAAACCTCTGTGGTTACCATCACACCCCCTTTAAACACAAAAGGTATCAGTATACTAAGCTGTTTTGCATCTTGCTTTTAAGCTTTTATTTATTCAACAAATATTTATTGAGTGCCTCCTAATGTGTCAGGTGCTGTTCTAGGTGCCTAGCAGGTACAAATGGTGATGAAAACAGTCCCTACTCTCTTGGCACTTAATTTTAATGAAGGGACAAATAATAAACTACGTCAGATGGTGACAAACGCTGTGGGGAACAGGAAGGGGACGTGGCAGCAGCGAAGGGTGTGTTGTGCCTGGGTGGGCAGGTATGTGATCACGCGTGAACCTAAGAGTGGAAGGGAGCAAGCTGAGCGGACCCTGGGGAAGGAGACTGTGGGCAGAGAGGCCAGGGCAAAGCCCTGGGAAGAGTGAACTGCAAGGAGAGCAGTAGAGACGGAGGGCAGCAGGGAAGGTCGGGGTGCAATCGTGTGTGGCCTTGTAGGGCTGTTGGGAGCCTTCAGCTGTCATTCTGTGTTAAGTGGACACTTGGAGGGTTTTCCTTTGCGTTAATGTTCTAGGATCTTACTCGTCTTCTATTGATACTTCAGGGAATAATCCTATATATTCATCATTTTATTAGTTTGCTACTATTTGTGTGGAATAAATTTTCAGAAGTACAATTGCTTTGTCAAAGGGTATATGCATTTGTAATTTTTATAGACGCAGTGCAATTGCTCCTTGAGGGGACTAGTTCATTCTTAGAAAGTTTCTAAGGACATTTAAGAGGCAAAGTCCACAGGGTAGGTTTTATACACTGAACTGTAGTTTAAAGTATACTCTTCATAATGAATAACTCAACATAGAATTTCCTCAAAGAAATTATTATAAATTATGTTTGTTTTACAGCGAATTTTGTGGGGAAAATCTCAGCAGACAGAAATTTACTCGAGCAGTAAAGAAACTGAATGCAAATATTCTTTACCTCTGCTTTTCTCAGGTATGAAAAATGTACTGTGAACTAATTTTTAATTTGTTAATATGGCTGAAAATAGTAATCAATTTTTTGCTTTTTCTAGCATGTAAATTTAGATCAATTACAACCACTGCATACCCTCAGGAATCTAATGTACCTGGTCAGCCCGAATTCTGAACACCTGGGCAGGTAAGAAGGGTGTTTGTTGCTTTTCTCTGAGTGCTGCTGTCGTGACCACTCTTAAGTGGGGTGGTTGTATGTGTTGGCAGTGTACAGAGACCTGTTCCTCATCCCCAAACTCCAGAAGGGACAAAAATAATGCATTTCTGTATAGAAGGAAACACTGGCTAATCATATTTGAATCGTTACGGTCCTTACATAATCATTTCCCAGAGAAAATTAGTATCGAGCATTTTCCACACTTAAAACAGACTAGAAGAGCCCAGGTATTCCTGGAGTGAGGCCTTTCTTGTGCTGTGAAGCTCAAACACCATTTCTTTGAATCTGCATTTGTTTATACTCTAGCCCTGTCTGGTCAGCCCGTTGCCTGTGCATTTTCTTTTGTGCCTGCTCATTCCTTCCCGTCATAACAGTTCTTCACAATTCACTTGTCCCTGAGTCAATCTGACCACCACTTGTTGGATGAAGGGTAAGAGACGTTTATGGGATGAAGTAGCTTAAAAACCAGGACTCAAGAGATCATCTGGGACTGGTCTACGGGATCTTTTCAGTTGCTCAGCCCATAAATGCATGATGCTGATGAGGCCTGTCTTTTGCACTATCGAAGAGCCCCTTCTCTGGAAGCTTACCTTTCTTCCTTGCTCTTAGCACTCTGCCCATACATTTCATACAGATATGGCTTGGTTAATATATTTGCACTTTGGAGAAAGGACAAAGAAAGATAAAAAGTGGGAGAGTTTTTGCAGGGTCCCTTCCCATCATTCATTTGCTTTGACACTGAAACCAAGGTTCAAGGGGAGTCCCCTTCACTGAGCAGGGTGCTTGGCTTCCTTCCTGCAGTAAATTTTCTGCGACAATCTCCCCATAACCATTGTCTTATGTTTCTCCCCCTTTCCCTCCCCATGCCTAAAACAGTGGTGAACTTTGTGAAAAGCTCTGAACTCTCTCCAGGAACCTGCACATACACCTAGAATTTTTGCCATTTTATAGGGAGTGCATGCTCCTTACCCCAAATCCCATTAAGTAGTTTAGGAGTCACAGAAACCCATTAAAAATCCATCCCAGTTTTAGTGGTTGATTCCGTAGGTTTGCTTGCCATCCTCTCTGTACCTTATTTGCAAAGGGTTCAGCATTAGGAAATTTATCATTAATAATAAGACAATATGTATTGAGTCACTATTTATTGACACAGGGCTAAGTATTGGCATGCCTGAAATCTAGGTAGGATTATTATTCTTTCTTTACACAGGGAGTAACAGGCTTAGCATGGTCAGGCAGCTCATGCCTGTGATCACAGATCCAGTAAAAAGTAGTGGAGCCAGGGTCCCAACACACCTCTGGCTGACGACTCCCAAGTTGTAGATACTCGTGTTTTCAACCAGAGCACATCACTTTATCACATTAACATATCAAAGAAGAGAATAAACACAAGATCAGCCTGAAAATAAACACAGGATGACAGAAAAGCAATAAATAAAATTCAGTTCCTGTTAAACTGTCAAATCAAAAAGAGATTATTAATAAATGATACCTACCATAAGCATATATAGCAAAAACTATACTTAATGACATATTACTTACATAGATGTTTGATAGAAGCAGTCCCTGACAGGGAAAAACAAGGGTGCCCTATGTGACTGCTGTGTTAGCATTGCTCTGAAGGCCCAGTCAAGGCAACACATTTTAACAAAGAAATAAGGTGTATGTTACATTGGAAAGAAGGAAACTAAGTACACATTATTGTGGATCGTATGATTATTGAACTGGATATCCAAAAGAACTAAGAAACTTAGAAATGATAGTTCAGTGTGGTGGCTAAATATAAGATCAACATACATAAAAGCAGTTGCTTTCATATGTGCCCACAACAACTTGTTAAAAAGTGAAATGGAAAAAAGATCCCTTTTACTTTAGCAACAGAGGCTATAAATTATAGAGGAGTAATCATTAAAAATACATGTAAATCTATGTAAAGAAAATTATGAAACTTTTTTTAAAAGATTTTTATTTTTAGAGGGGAAGGGAGGGAGAACGGAAGAGAAGCATCATGTGTGAGAGAAGCTTGGACCAGTTGCCTCTTGCCTGTCCTCCACCAGGGACCTGGCCCGTAACCCAGGCATGTGTCCTGATGAGAGATTGAACCAGTGACCTTTCAGTTTGCAGGAGGACAGCCGACCCACTGAGTCACACCAATGATGGCAAATTATGAAACTTAAAAAAAAAAATCAACATGTAATTCTTGAATGTCTGCCAGGCACTTTATGAGGTGTGGCACCAAATGAAAGAAGGCCCAAGGCAGAAAAACCCTTTTGATTTTCTAGGAGGGGAAGGCACAGTTGTAAAAATGCCACTTTCCCAGAAAAGGAAACCTGATGAGAATTTCAACAGATATTTCATGGAACTTTTTTGACAAGCTGATTCTCATGTTTAACTAGAAGCACAGCCTTCAAGGAAATTTGGGAAAAGAATAACAAGGGATGGCCTTGGTCCCTTTGACAACAGTATAAAGGTAATTAAAACAGGGTGCTGTTAGTATGCAAATAGGAGAGCAATTAGAGGAGGAAAGGAGTCCAGAAACAGACTGTTAAATGTGTGGAAATACAGGATAGAGGTGGCATGTTGAATCCTAGTAATTGCAGCGCAAAGGTGGTGGGCCAGCTGGGTAGTCACGGGGGAAGCTGGAGTCATACCGCATTCCACATACAAAAATTAATTCCAGATTATAGAAACCACCTTAATATATTTTTTTAAAAAAAAACAAAAAACTGTAACTAGGAGAAAAGACTTTTATAATCATAGGGTGGGGAGGGAACTCCCAAGCAAGCCACAAAACCCAAAAACCATAAAGGAAAGGAGTTACACATTTTAATGTGTAAAAACTGAATGTCTCTGGTAAATGATATCATAAAAAGTGTTAAAAGACAAACAACAGATATATTTTGCAATATCTAGAGGAGACAATGGATTAAAATCTAGACTACTTAAACCTTTCAGGTCAATAAAAGAAAGGCAAACAACCTCACAAAGAAATAAAGCAAGCAGACAGCTCACACAAAAGAAATGCAAGTAGTCAGAATTCAAATGAAAAATAGCTTTAGTCTTAATTAAGAGTAAGGAAATGCAATTCAAACTAGGTTTCCATTTTCCACCAGTTCAGCAAACAGGAAAGGACTGATGGTATCCAGTGGTGATGGTGGTTATTTCCTCAGAGGATCTGAGGTTTTCTCCGGGCCTGCCCTTGAGTCTGCCCTCCATTTAGAGGGGTGTTCTCTAGAAGAGTGTGTGCGTGTGTGCACCCATGCGCCGCCCCCGCCCCCGCCCCCGCCCCCGCCCCCGCCCCCTGCCTGTTATCACATTGGAGTTTTTCTGGTCTGTGAACCCAGCAGTCAGAGCTTCAGAAGTCCCGTCTTCACAGCTCCCTCAGTCTGGCTTAAAGACATTGGTAATGGGATTTGTGTGGGACTTGTTTCCATGTAGACCAGCTGAACGGAGGAGTCTATCCTGAATCCAACATGAACTTATTTTCTTTGAAATAAATTAAAACTTACAGAAAAAAATCCAAAAGTTAAAAACAGTGCAAAGACGCATATACCCTTTATCCAGATTCACCTTTATTAGTGTTTTATCCCATTTGCTTTATCATCTGTGCGTCTTTCCCTCTCTTACTCTTCCTCTCCTTAAATGTACCAAAACATTTTTTTCTCTACTCTCTGTGGATAAGTTACATATATCATATCTTGATCCCTAAATATTTCAATATGTACTTCCTCCAAACAGGGATAGTTTCTTCCTTAACCCCAGCAAAGTTATCAACATCAGCTTTAACACTGTCCTACTCTGATCTACAGCCCACATGCACATTTTGTCCGTGCACCAGATGATGTCCTTTATAGTATTTCCCCGTCCCAGGATCCAGTCCAGAGTTGGGCGTTGTATTTAATTGCTATGTCTCTTTAAATCTGAAACATTTCACAGCCTACTTTGTCTTTCCTTTTACAACAATAACTTTTTTCCTTTTTAAAATAGAACTTTCATTTTGAGATTGATGTTTCCTTGCAGTAAGATTCAGGCTCTGCATTTTAGACTGGAGCACAGCCTAGGCAGGAGTGTCCCCTGGATTTCATATTCGGGGACCCACAGTGACCTTCTGTCCTTCTTTATGGGTGATGTTAATTCAATCACTTAGTCAAGATACTGTGTGATTTCTCCACTGTATAATTCCTCTATTACTCCTGTGCTGTGTGTGGGGAGACACTATCATTCAAAGTCCAAAGTTTACATTAGGGTTCACACTCGATGTTGTATATTCTACAATATTTTTGAAATGAACTATTTTGCAAAAAGAGACTTTTAAAAGACAAAAAGATCATTTTGTTGCCTTAATTGATAAGAGTTAGTCCCTGTGTCATGAGAAAATAAGTTCTCTGGCTTTTATAACCTGTATTCCCCAAAAATTTTAAGCAAAAAGACTTAATTCTTATGCTAGTTAATTCTGTGTGGCGCGGGTGTGCTGGGCAGGTCATAGATTATGCTGGAAGTGATGGGAGAAAGGCAGTCAGTGGAGAAAAGTCCCAGCGGCCTCTCAAGGGGTCTCTTCTGCTCTGCCTGTTCCCAGAATTGTAGGTCACTCGCTGGAACTAAAATTGTTCCTGCTGGCTGCTGTGGGATTCATCCATTGAGCACCTGCTCCATGCCAAGTGGACTCTGCTCTAGGGGATTCCAAGCAGAGACCTGGGGTCCAGGTGGCTTCCAGTGTGGGGCTCTACCTCAAGGAAGTGTCCTTTCTCCCCTTGCATCACTCCAGCCCATCTCCTGGGAAAACCCTTAAAGAGGGGATCTGGGGCAATGGCATTCTCAGGCCAAGAAGAACCCCAAGAGTAGTTCAGGCAGCATCAAAGAGGAACAGGACACAGGCTGAGCCTCAAAGCCAGCAGGAAGGAAGGAGCGAGGCTGGGGAGCTGACCTGGGCCTGCGAGGCAGCCTCGGGGAGTCAGGAGACTTAGCCCCTGGGACAGCAGAGCTGAGCGGAGCAGAACCAGAGCGCCTTGCAATTTGGGAGAGGGAGACCATCTAAGATACTTAAATTGTGAACATTTTTAATAGGCAGACACCATGAGGAGAGTGAGGGACGTCTCTCTGGTAAGCAGAGGCGGGCGGGGGTGGGGCTGGCTAGTGAGGTGGTGGCGCCGTGAGGACTGGAGCTGGGGGAGACGTTGAGGGTGGAAAGGAGGCTTACTTGGTGATCCCAGGCTGGAGGGGGCGGGAGGAGCCCCAGCTGCTTGTGTTTTTGAGACCAGGAGACCACCTCAGGTACCTGAGGACATGAGTCTGGGAGGGTGGCAGCACTCAGTAAGGGCTCTGGCAGGCAGGAGGGTGTTGGGGAAGGAGGGGGCGGCTAGGAGAGGAATCTGAGAGAAGAGAAATGTCTTTGGAGTAGACCTGTTTGCCAAGGAAAAGAAAAGGGGAAGAGAGAAAAGAGACTGGAAAGAGAACCATAAGAAAACAGAAAAGGGACACATCAGCTAACATACAGGTTTCAGTGGTGATCAGTCTATTCAAGAAAGTTTCCAGGGGAGGAAGGAAAGTTGTGAGAATTCCCTCCTAATTCTTGTTCCATTCACCCCTTGCAAAACCAGGACTTCTGGGTTGGGTGGAGGCCTGGTTTGAGGGGCTTTTTGAAATGTAAACTGTTCACGAGAGACCAGTAGGAAACCCTGTGGCACATCATCCGATTTAATTAATACTTGCAAAGCCTTAAACCTAGAACAAAAAACATGGCTATTACTGCTGCTGTGTTCCAGCTGGGAAGCAGGATGGTTGTCTTGGAGGAGTGGAGGCTACTTGACCCTAGAACAAGTGAGTGAGCAGGTGCAGGTCTGGTGAGGTATGTAGGAGGCCCACACTAGGCTTTTATCATTATAAGACTAAGAAGTTTGGACCATGGACTAAAGGTCAGGCTGTACAATTCTAGGGTATTTCTCATTTCTGTTATTTTTGCTCTCCTCTGTCATTTTCCCCAAAGTAATTACGAGTGAAACTTTTAAATGAACCAAGGCAGTGAACTTTATTATCCTGGGGGCAGCAGTGGAGACCGGGCTCCTGAGGGCCGGGGTCACACCCACAGCTGGTTGCCGGGAACTGGCCTGCAGGGGCCACAGATGGGGTGAGTGCCTGTCTGAAGGAGGTGCGGCCTGGCTCCCGTGTGGCAGGAGTGGGTGGGCACTTGAAAAGGGACATGCAGAAGGCCTGTCACAGGGAGTGAGGCTGAGAAAGAAAGGTTATTAGGTTTGGAGGTGAGGACATTATTAGGAACCTTTAGAGAATAAAAAGTTATTTCCTGAAAGGCACTATTCCAGATGAATATATTCTAAACAATCTCATTCTATGCTATAAAGGTGTCCCTGGAAAATTATGTGATCGGCAGCCTGTTGTTGACACCATTCCCAGGGTGCTTTGCCAAGTGCTTACAGCTCTATCATTTAGCTCTTTTGAGTCCGGAGTTTAAAAATTGGGGGTTTCCATAAGGCAGAGAACATACTAGTTTTCTTTGTACACCATTTGATACTTGCTGTACTAATATATTTGAGTATATACATCAGGTAACTTTTTGTCAGGATTGTGCCATTAGAATGCATAGATAATGAAGTTGTTTGAAACAGAAAAGTGTACTTTGGACCAGAATGGACGATCTCAGTGGATGGATTTTTTCCATCCAGGCTCTTAAATAAAGTAGGTAGAATTGAGAAGTGTGGTATGGGGAATTACTCATTACTTAGATGGGAGTTACTTAGATCAAAACAAAACAAAACAAAAAACCCCTCAGACCAACAGTGACTGAATACAGTGCAGACTTAGGAAGCAGGTGCAGCGATAGCTCTGGGTTTCCTACATGCCATTAGGTCTTCTGTCACCTATTGTCACATGTTGTGAGCATGGTGGTTGTCTTAGAGGCCCTTCACTGTCTGTCTGCACACAGGTCAGGGCCCTTCGAAGTGCGAGCAGACCTCGAGGAGTCCATGGAATTTGTGGATCCTGGAGCCGCTGGAGAGTCAGATGAGAGTGGCGAGGATCGCGTAAGCGATGAGGAAACCGACCTGGGCACAGACTGGGAGAACTTGCCCAGCCCCCGGTTCTGTGATATCCCTTCCCAGCCCGTGGAAGTCTCCCAGAGCCAGAGCACCCAGGCGTCCCCGCCCATTGCCAGCAGCAGTGCCGGCGGGATGATCTCCTCCGCTGCAGCCTCGGTGACCTCCTGGTTTAAAGCGTACACTGGACACCGTTAACGAGCATGGATCAAAACATGCCAGATTTGCATCAAGAAAGTAAACTAACTTTATATATTTAGGTAAGATCATGCCTGGAACAAAAACAGGTTTGAAACTGTTTGTTTTCTTTTAAAGCAGGGAGACAGGCATTTCCGTTTGTCAGATGGCCAGCGGTGGTGACCAACATCCGTAGGATAACTAAAAGAACGGGGTCAAAGGCCCTCCTACCCAAACTTGTGCTGGTGGGAGAAGGCCCAGAGCAGGAAGCCAGTTTCGTTGAGGCAAAAACTCCTCTGGGCTCCCTTTGATCACAGGCAAAAGGACCCGCAGACACAGGCTGACATGTGGGCCCTCCGACGCTGGGACTGTTCCTGAACACTTTGCATTTTAGAGGCTGAATCACAAGGAAGTGATTCTTGATGATTAAGACTTGAAAGATAAAAAAAACTGTTCAATATGAGTTTCTTTTTCTGCGATCATTTTTGTACAGAGAACCAGCAAGCAATTTGAAATACTTGATTTCTTTATAATTTGGTCATGTTTGGTTTTTAGGTCAAGGGCTTTGGTTTTGTTTGGAAAGGTAGTGTTTCGGGGAGGGGTGGGTAGTTTTAAAATTACTTCACTTGTGCTACTCTGTCGTAGCTCGTGAGACATTCCTGTTTTTCTTTCTCCCCACACACCAAAGAAGCTAAGGTCTTTTCTTTAGGACCCACACCCATGAACAGAAGTAATTCTAGCTGCAATAATGTCCTAGAGATTTTAAACCTATTTTCTTATATTCTGAGGGGAATTAAGTTCATTCTTAACTAGATTATTGAATTCCTACCATCTACACTATGTGCATTTTGAAATTGAACTAATTTTCTGTGAGTGAAAGTCATTAAGGTCATTCGTTAATGTAAGCTAAATGCCTGCCTGGGCACAGGTTAAAAGCCACTGAATGGACTGGCCTTAGGTATTCTTCTGGAGTCCTATTCCTTCCTAAGGGGTTTCGTAGGTGGCAGGTTTTTCCAGGGAAACCATCCTGCCTGTCCGTTTCCTAGAGGTCTTTGTCGCTCTGAGGACACTGCTGTCCCTCCTCCTAGCTGATACTGCTCTTCTCTTTCCTGGGGAAAGGTCTGTGGGAAGAATTTTTCCTCACCAAGAGATCATTTTTAGCTAACGTGTCTTTGTCATTCTCTTACTGACAATCTTACAAGAAAACTGTAGAGAGGCATTATGTACAAATATGTAAGTTTATTTTTAATAACTGCAAAAAAAAAAAAAACCCTATGTAACAACTACAAAAAGAAATCCTATGAAAAATTCCTAACAGGCATTATTACCATATCTTGTTAGTGTGACTAGCATGATAGTACCTCAGCTAAATCATTTGGAGGTTTGTCCTGCCCTGGCTTCTTTTCTCATTGTAATTATAGATGATACTTTGCCTCCAAATCCGAGGTGCTATATAGCTTTTGCTGTTGGCATAGTGTCATAGTGTTTGGTAGCGTTGCAGCAGGGTGTTTATTCCTATCCAGGAGCCCCAAGTTCCCTGGCTCTGAATTTTCCACTTTGGGAGGAAACAGGCTCTCCTCTGTTCGAACTGCTCAGCTTTATGATTGCGGGGATTGCTTTGTACCATCCAGGTCTGTAATTCATAGAGTGGTAGACTTGAACAAATTACCAAATGAACTTAAAATCCCGTAAGAGTTATCCAGGTACTTCCAACCCTAAAAAGAAGAGCTTAGTCTCCAGAGTTGAAAGATGTAGACTTGGGGCTTGAGGGTAGACACTGACTTCAGCTGAAAGGAACACTAGTCATGGTTTCTCTGAAGTAAGCCTCTTATGGAACCATGAACGTGAGATGAAGCTAAAGAACAGAACCCAGAGATCACAAACTCGTATCTAGAGTAATTCAACAAAACTTACAAGGATATGGGAAATACGGGGATTGATAGGGTATGTTTTGTTGTTGTTATCACCTAGACGCACTTTACTTAGGGTTAAATGATCAAACCCTGTAGTGGTCATGAACACCAACATACTGGCTTACTCTGCTGAGGTATTTTGGTTTTCATTATTTTGCACTGGATCCACCCTGTAAATATTCTTAAGTATACATTTCAACCACTGTTTTTTCTACTCTCTTTGCTGCTCATTAAAATCTTTCATGTAGGTGCCAGAACCGTATGTAAACAGCTTTTTTAAAAAGTTGAAGCTGGTTTTTATTTTTAAACAAAAGCCATAGAACTTGGTCCTTTTTCCATATTAAAATGATTTGTTGAAACAAGGTAATACTAATAAAAACCCAGAGGCACCAAATAGGCTGCTTAAAATGGTGTGTTAAGGACTTTTTTGTACGTAGGATGACTGAGAAAAGTTTTGCACATCTGTAATTTAAAGTGAAAAACATGTCAGCATTGGGTGTAGCGGACGGGACTCCTTCCAGGAGCTGTGCGACGGTGACCCCAGAGAGAGCGCCTGGTGGTGCGCCGCTGAGCGCGCTACAGGCTCCGAGGGCCTCCTCGCGGTGCCCTGCTGCAGACAGTTCGCGTTCCGCAACTCCCAAGCCAGTCTGAGGCATGCAGACGTTTTCTAAAGTTTTATTCTATTATTATAATAAATCTTTTAACAGTACTTTGTTAATATGTGTTTTTCAAACTGATTATTATTAATACTGATACATTAAGGGTAGCAAGAATGAGGTGTAACCCTGGAATATTTTATATAAATTATAGGTAATTTTTTGCCAGGAGAGAAAACATGCCTGCTGATACTTTTTAAAAATTATTGACCATGGTGGCAGTCATAACAGTTCATCTTTAGTAATCTGGGACACTGGTTGCTTGCCAATTATATACTTTCTTGAAAGATGGATTTTTCTTTGGCAGCCGTCACATGATGATACCTGTGCCCTACACCGACTCCATGCCTGTAACAGCCCCCAAGGGGGCGTCTCTAGGATGCCCAAATGATCCTGCCCAGACTTTGTTCAGGACAAAAAAGAAAAAAATATTAGAGGTTAAAGGGAATCTTTCAAGCTAGAGGAGAACCAAGCAGTTTTTGGAGAATCCCCCCCCCCCCGCCCCGGTAACTGGTCTCTCCCAGATGGATGATCCCGCAGGCTCAGGGGCACCATGACTGGCTGCAGGGGAACAGTCGGACCATCTTGGATGAATGTTGGAGAACTGCTGCCATGGCTGCCCTACCCCTTACCCTCAGCAGGAGGAAGGCAGGCACAGAAATGGAAGAGTCCCGAACAGCGTGTTGTACCTCGGTTAGTGTCTTTCAGTCTCTCTCAGTTAAAAACATGTTCCCATCTAATATGCATACAGAAATTCCCCGTCCCCACTGTTACAACATGGGTGATGTGAGAACCAGGTTGAAGCAGATGATGGGGAGACCTAAGGATAACTTTGTCTTTCGTGGACAAAGAGGTCATTTGAAAGTTGCTTCAACAAAATGTACCAGGAAATTTGAAACAGCTTTTTTTAAGCAAGTCATCTGAACTTCAGCTATGAAATGTTTAATGAGAGAAGGCCACGTCCAGCCCTCCATTCCAGGGGATCTGGTGAGAAAATACCCTGGGAAAGGAGTTCACAGTCTGCTTAGAGTTACATAGATGAAGTGGCTTGTTTTTTTTAAAACCAGAAGCTACCAGTTTCTTTTGTCTAGGGACAGTCTTTTCTGGAAGAAAAAGGATAGTAAAACAGCAAGCGCTACATCAGTGACTCTTTGCTGATTTTTGTAGGAAGGTATGAGAGGGAGTCTGTGGTAGGGGAAACTCCGATATTCTGATGGAGATTTCAAATGGCCCCCTTTGAAAAGTAAGAAATAGGAGATACTTGACAGCAGTAGGCTGGTGTTGAAAAATGGGCTACAGCCAGTTGCGTGCAAGAAGCTCAAGTCATTAAGGGTCATGTGGCTGAGGCATTAACACCTCCAGGTCCACATCAGATTCTTCATTACCGCCCCCCGGGTATGGCTTTTACCATTTGCCGTGTAACTTCAGCAGATGCCTAGATTTTGAAGAAGGGGCTTTCCTACTGTTCCTAGCAGTTTATTTCCCTAAATTTAAAAACATTATCTGGAAGCCATTTGTAAAGCATAAGCAAAAAAATATGTGTGGCTCAGGATTTGGATAAGAAAGTACCAAGTGATTTGAAAGTAGGTGGAAGAGACACACCTTCCATTCCAAGGTTGATCAAGTAGGGACAGAAACAGAACAATGCTGTGTCAGCACAGACGGCTGTCTTCCTAGTGGGAAGGGCTGCGACTACCACCCACCATCGGGGGAAATTATGGGGTATGGCACTGGCTTCAGTTGGGAGTTCTGCTACCCCCTTGAGGGCCTTTGAGAAAAAACCTGCTAAGAGCTGAAGAACGATAGCCATCTCTATGAACACCATGCCCCAGACCCTTTAGCTCCTAAATTTCTCCACAGCCTTGCTACTCATGGAGTGATCCTTGGACCTGCAGTGCCAGTATCACCTGGGAGCTTGTTAGAAATGCGTGATCTTGAGAGTGACCTCAGTATGATGGCAGAGTAAGAAGACCCATGTGTATCTCCCCTTAAAGTTACAAGTTAGATACCCAACTACAATTCAACCAAGGATCCTCTGCTCAACACACAAACGTGTCTGAAAGACTCACCTATCGATACACCTGGAGGTGAGCACAGGAGGCCAGATGGGGAAGGACAGAGGTGGGGGCAGAGATGCAGTTTGGTACCCACTGCAGCCCCAGCTGACGTGACAGTTGTGGAGATCTCCGGCTGCAGTCCTCACATAGCAGCCTGGAGGGTAGGAGGGGCAGAAGCAACATTCCTGCCTGAGTAGTGCCCATTGTGGCTAAACCGAGTGACGAGACAGTAGAGTGGTGTGGCAGCTGAGGACTAGCAGCCAGCATTACTAGTGAGCAGGCAAAACCACCAGACTCACAAACCCACCTCCCTTACCCGCCCGTTGCGGTAGAGCCCTCCAGAGGCAGTGGAGCTGCCTCACGTGCATAGCACTGCCGGCAGCTACTAGTAAGAAGGAGGCGGTGCTGGGAGCGCCCAGCCTGGAGCCCTACCGCCTGCCACATCCTACCATGGGTGTCCTGTCCCGACCCAGGCAGCACAGAGGGGAATGCTCACCACCTTGGGAACACAGTGCATCTTCCACAACCACAGGGACCCTGTCCCACCAAGACTGCAGGCGTACCAGTAATGCAGGTAAGAGGAAACAAAAGCTTGTGCTTTCATACCATCTACTGGAATATGGAAGGTATCTACTTATTAACCTGCTCAGTTAAAAGCAAAACAGCACCTAAAAATGAAAAGAGTTCACTACCTCAAATGTGCTGGCAGAGAAACAATAAATAATAAGTACCATGAATAACTAAGACAACAAGGTAGCACAAAGAGAAAATAAAAAGTCGGGGAGCATTTGTGATCTGGGTCCCCGATGTGCCATCAGTTCCAAACTTTCATAAAAATGCTGTAGAGGCTTGAATGCTTCCTATGTTGACAGCTGAAACCAGTTTAGCCCACCTGAGTATGGACAGTGAGTAACTGAGTGTCTTTGATGTGACCACGAGCACTCAGCAAAACCAAATTTCACACTAACACAGAACTGATTTGAAGATTTGGTGCGCATAGGTACATTTCTGAAATGAGTGGTGCCTGCTGGAACCGTTGCCCAGGCGGAAGGAAAATCATCACAAGGAATTCATGACTTCAACTAATCAAATGCTGCCAAACTGGAATTCCTTTGTACTATGTCTTGTTCTTCCCATACCGTATCTTAATTGGCTAAGTTCCCGAACCATTCAATCAGACCCTCCCAAATTAGAATTTACAAATATGTATAATGTTTTATTAACCTCACCTCTTAAAACTTGTCTCAAACCTTAGTTTAAGGAGACAAATTTGAGTTTTGTCTATTGTCTCCTTGTCTGGCAGTCTTGCAGTAAATTCTTTTCTCTGCAAAAAAAAGAAAAACCAAAATGAAGAGTCTCCAGAAACCAAACTCAAAGATATGGAAGGCTATGATTTAAATGACAATAGAGTTCAAGACTGCAGTTATGAGATAAAAGAAACTCAGAAATGTAGTTCAGTGAGCTCAGGAACAAAATCAATGAACAAAAGGAGTACTTTACCAAAGAGATCGAAACTATAAAAAAGAGCCAAACAGCCCCCTTCAGCGTGGCTCCACTGACTGGGCACTGTCCTGCAAAGCTCAAGGTCACTGATCCCCAGTCAGGGCGTGTACGAGAGGCATCTGATTGGTGTTTCTCTGACATTTCTCTCACATTAATGTTTCTCTCCCCTCCTCCACTTCCCCTCCGCTCCCGCCCTTCCCCTCTCTAAAAAGCAATGAAAAAATGTACTTGGGTGAGGATTAAAAAAAAGAAAGAACCAAACATTCTGGAGCTGAAGAACTCAGTAAAAGAGATGAACAATGCATCAGAGAGCACTGGAAATAGAGCAGACCAGACGGAAGAGAGAATCAGCAAGCTCAAAGATAGAAACCTAGAAATGACTCAAGTGAAAGAAGAGAGAACTAAAGAGTTTTAAAAAATGAACTCTACAAGAACTGTGTGACGCCATTAGAAAGAGCAACATAAGGGAAATGGGCATACCTGAAGAAGAGGAGAAGGGAACAGAGCATATTAAAAGCAATAACCAATGAGAAATTCCCAGACCTGTGGAAAGAGCTAGATCCTTCTAGAACTCAAGAAGCTAACAACACCTCAAAAAGGCCTCCAAAACACATTATATTAAAACTGTTGAAAGTTAATGACAATGAATTCTCAAGGCAGCTGGGCTAGGGGGACAGAAAACAGCTGTAAACTACTATGGAAACCCCATTAGATTATCATTTTTCAGGAGAAACCTTACAAGCCAGGAAAGTGTGGAATGAAATATTTAAAATACTGTAATAGAGAAATAACCAGCCAAGAATAATATATTCAGCGAAGGGATAACTATCTTAGACATGGAGGAGAAATAAAGGCTTTTCCAGAACACCAGAAGATCTGCATTATAAGAAATGCTGAAACAAAGACAATCGTCTATAAAACGTTTGAGTATGATGACAAACAGGAAATTGCAAGTCTGTTTCAGAACAGGTTATTAAACAATGAAGGTTTAAGGAGAAAGTGCTTTTTTTTAAAGACTAACTTCTGCAATTCAGAAATGAACACATAGCATAAAGGGGTAATTTGTGACAAAACATCAAAAAGGAGGAAGAAAAGGACTGAACTTGCACAGGTAAATGAAAACAAGATGCAATCAGAAGAACAGGGACTATATGTGAAACACTTTTTAACATAAACCTAAAGAATCACAAAA